AAGTTAAAAATAGACATTTATACACCATTCGATAGACAATTTCAAGAGCTACATTTTGCACTATTTATATTTGAAAAAAGGATTATTTCGATTTTCCGCCTAATTTCCGCCTATATGCCCACTGTGTTACGGTAATTAAGGATAATTGAGATCAAAAAGAATATGATTTAAAAGTTAAATTGAAGCAACATATGACAAAAAATATAAAAGGAAACGTGCAAAAGACAAAGCCAATTACCGTCAGAAACAAAAAGAGTTGATGGAAGCCTCAGCCGCTGCATCATCACCAGCTGTTCCCACTGCTCCTTCAGCAGAAGATCTGCGAAAGTCGCGTGAGTTCAAACACAGCCAAATAAAAAATGACAACCAGCAACTACGTGATACAACTAGAAAGTTAGAGCGTGAAAATCGAAAAATAATTTATCCTGTTTATACGTAAGTGTTTTTCGGTGCGCGCACCACTGTCTGAAAAAATCTAGTCTTCTGTTTTTAGGGGTTTGGAACAGTTGCTCTCGAGGACATTTGCTCGCGGACAGATGCTCGTATGACAAGTTGCTCGCATAGAGTGATGCTCGCTTGAACAGATGTTCATCGGACACTTACTCATAGGGATTTATAAGACTGGTATTCAGAACTGGAAACAGATTTTTATAAGAATAGACTGCACATAATCATACGAATCCAAACAGAGTTATGTATACAAGAAACAAAACAGCAAAGACCATTTATAACGACAGTAAACGTCCGATTGCTTGTGGGAAGCTACCACCAAACGCGTTCATAGAGGCTTTTTGAAAATCCATCATTAAGCGATCTGGATTCCATGTCGGTATAAGTTCAGTAATCTCATTAATCATTGTCTGATATATTCTTGTTGATTTACTCGACAATAAAACAAACACAGCAGGTATAACATGATTTCGGTAACCAGCATGTACAGCGAATAATTGAAAAAAAATTTTGTGAAGAACTGTAAATGTTCCATCGACGAACAAATCCTGAGAAAATGAGTAAGTTGTAGAAACGTTGAGAAATAACATCTTTCTAAAAGTAGTACTTTCTGTTGCATTTTTCAAAATCTCTTGTGTACTGACCACAAATATAATGTTGTGTCAAGATATTGTGTGGATTTGCATGGTTATGCGCAGTCTCTTGTTTTAAATTCTCACAAAATTTTCTTACTAATTCTGAACGTGGACTGCCAGAATGATTTTCGTGTTCACCAACCATTTTAACGATAACATTATTTAAATCTGTATAAAGACGTGAATGACATGAAAATGTTTTTTGAAATTAACATTTCTAATAAACTTTTTCTTCATTTTTTCGATCGACAATATATGAGAAACCATTGTGTGGAAGTAATGGAGCGTTTTTGGATGTTTTAGAAACAGTAGACATTTTGAACGATGAATGTAAGGTTATGATAAATTGCCCAAAAATTGCAATTTATATTCTTCCCAAAATTCCGCAAAAATAATTGTTTATAAACATTTATCAAGTGTACAAAAATTATTCAATATAAGAAATAACAATTAGTTTGAACCTGTTTTATACGCGATTTCAAGGTTCCCATTTAACAGATACTTTAATTAGTTTGAATAAGTTTCATAAACTACTTGTTCTTATTTAAAGTATTCGGTGAGCATGTGTCCGACGAGGATCTGTCCATGCGAGCAACTTGTCATACACTGTAATTTGGAATTATTTTCTACTTTATAGAAAATCGATCTAGAAAATCCCCAAGGATTTTCCAACTCTTTTAAAATCTTGAGCCAACATTGTAGAAAATCGATTCGCTTTTCCAGATTCTAGAAACTCAAAATCGATTTTCTATAAATAAATTCCAACATTCTTGAAATTTGTCAGCGATTTTCTAAATAGTTGGAAAATTGAATTCGATTTTCTAAGAAGATGAATCGATGCTTTTTTCATGCTTCATTCACATCTATTAAAGCCTACATTGCAACAACTTTTCCTGTAACAGATCTCTGCTCGTTTTAGTATTTAACATCGGAAATGTTAGTAGATTCGGAAAGTTCTCTCAGTTTTTGCAAATCAGCATATTCTTCAAGAAGTACTGTTGCTATATGACACTTGGAGATCACAAAGCGGTAGTGAAAAGGTTCTGGATTTGCCTGGTTAAGACAAATTCGAGTTCCACCGCAACTTTCTGAAGATCGCAAAGCGATTCGCTCTTATTCTTACTAATATTCCTCATTTTTATGTCTGAATTTAACATCTTCCAAAAATGTACTTGGTTCTATTAACTGAAAGACATGATCCTAACAATTCACATTTATTTTATTATTTTTTAAATAAAATAATAGGCGTTCAACACGTGAGCGATGTTGAATTTGGTTTTCATTTGTAAAAGATCTATATGGTCATCCAGTAAGCTGAAATAATACATCCCACTCAACTTCGAAGTTCAATAGCTTTTAATAATGGTGTAAAAGTTTATCTTCAGCCATTTTCACTTTGCAAGCCTCTGATTATCAGCATTCTCACTCAAATTGTTCTTCCTCATCATCTAGAAAATCGCTAAGGATTTTCTAGGAAGTAGAAAATAATCCGACTTTTTGATTTTCGAATGGCCATATATAAAATCGTTGAGGATTTTCTATAAATAATTCCCAATAATGTAGAAAATCGATGTCAGTTTTCCACATTATTGGAAATTCGATTTTCTATAATCCGGAAATCTGTCAGGATTTTATATACGGACTTTTTGAAAATCACCGAGGATCTTCTATAAATAATTCTCGACTTTACAGTGTACGAGCAACTGTCTGCGAGCATCTGTGCGCGAGCAAATGTTCTCGTGAGCAACTGTCTGTTTTTAGCGATGGTTCGTTAGTGAAAATAGCGATATGAATATCGGCTACACCACCTTTATCCACCACCTACTGGACTACATACTGAACCCTAAGATGGAAGACTGGGTACTTGTTTATGCTGTACTTGTTTAAATTCCGAATTGAAAGTAGATAAACTTATACAATTGAAAACCAACTATCCGCCACTTCAACCGCCTGTGAATTTGATACCACATGATTTAGGAGAGCTGGGAAAGAATGAGGATCTATTGAATAAATGCCAGGAGGAGTTAGAGAAATTGAAGAAGGAAGCATTTAATGTCAGATACATTGAGCGGCAAAAGTAAAAGACGGAAAAATGTAAAGTCCCCGTGTCAACCAAAGTTCCTCTTACGTCATCGATTGGTACATTTACCACCAAACTTTCAACTGAATGTAAACTGATGTAAGTCAGCTCCCTTTCCCTATGTAGGTTTCAATGCGTTTTGCTCTGTTTGTTTCATAGGTCTTAGCCAAACATATTGTCCGAGTCTGTGCACAATATCAAGCTGCAAAAGAAGGCAGACAAAATGCATTGAAACAGTCGGATACTGTGTGTTTACAGGTGGACTGGAGTGAAAATTATCGCGTAAAGAATGCATGTGAGAAAAAAAGTAATAACCATTTTTCACTACTTTCTTGTCATGTATGTTTAACATGATAATTTTGTGTTAAAGAACGTACTATTTCGAGAATTGCTCTTCAAACGGAATCTGTATGGACAAGAGAAAAGTGCTACAGTTTCGCATCCTTGTCGGATGATACGAATCATACGAGTGATGCTAGTCTGAAGGATGAACTCAAGGAGTTGATCGATCGTGACAAGAAAACAAAAACTACTTTTATCTCAGTAAGTACTCGGTCAAAAGCACGTTTTTGGAGATAAGAGTAATTTTGTTTTCTTGCCACTTTAGGATTCACCGGTGTCTTAGTATGGTAACAAACCACCATTTACATGCTCATGTTGTCAGCAAAGTGTTCGAAAGTGGACATGAATTGGATATTCTTCGAAAGTGGTCATGGGAAAGGCATAGCGGACGCAATGGCTACATCCATGCACCGCTTCATTTTGCTCTCGAATATGTATCGAAATAACGCAATATTTTTTATTTTAAAAAAAATGTAACATTTAAGAAGAAAATATAAGATTTCACGTCATTCTTCGATTTTGTTCATCAGCTACTGTAGTAGATTAAACATGTAAGAATTCTTAGCCCATGAAGAATGAATATTATCGAAAAGTATGAAAGTTCTTTATGAAGAAATATCGCCAAGTGTTCAGTGACGCCAAAGGTCTGGTAGGTTTTAGAGTGCAAGCTGCAAGCTATTTGGTTTTGAATTTCGCTTCTGTGTCACGGCTGTACCGGATACCTTTCAGTTAAAACCGGTAGTCCTCATGAAATATCAACAGAAGACTTTCAATCGTCATTTGACACCAATTGTACATCGATATTTTTGTGTATGAAATATCAAATCCAACAATTTCTCAAACAGCAGGAAGCAGAGAATAAATTATCAGCCACTGAACTTGAATCTGAGCGCGGTCAAGCAGCTGCAAAAAATCCCAATGATTTGTATTTGTCATGGTCTCCATATTCAATTGTAAATAATTCTTCGACTTCTGGCCTGATAGGATCGAGTTTCGTCTATGCATATGGCGCAACAAAACATGCTGTATGTGGCTTAACAAAGAGTGAAAATCAAAAACATTTCTCCCACCGTTCTGTTTTGCTTAGTTTAATAGAGGGCACTCGATTGTATAAGAATTCGAGCCGATGACGTTTATAGAAGTCTTTTTAGCGTTAGAAATATAACGATACAACCCACCGCAAAAGAAACCGGCTGTTGTTTGTTCTGTTCGCCAAGAAAATTCCCGTCGTTTGTTCTTAGTTTTATTTATTACGCGATGAATTGGAGCCGCCATGTGGGCAAAATGTGATATAAACTTCCGATACCAATTCATTTTTCCGATAAATCTGTTTGCTTATTTTAACGTCCTTGGTTCTTCGATGTTCAATATTGTTTGTATACGGTCTTGAGATGGTGTTATTTGTTGTTCGGTGATGGTGTATCCGAGAAACAGTAATTTTGTAGTCATGATGGTACATTTGTTAGGATTTAGTTGAAAATTAGCTTCATGAAGAATTGAGAGAATTTCGGAGATATGTTTTAAGTGATCGTCACGACTTTTAGAAAATATCACGATATCGTCCAAATATACCAGAACATAATCCCAGCAGCCATTACCAATCAAATTGTTCATTACGCGTTGGAAAGTCGGAGGCCCGTTCATCACACCCTGAGGAAGGACACTAAATTGATACAGACCGTCTTGAGTAACAAAAGCAGTCTTTTCTCGATCTTTTAGATTGATCGGTATTTGAAAGTAGCCTGACTTTAAGTCTAATTTTGTGAAATATTTATGGCCACCTAGACGATTAATTAATTCTTCAACTGTAGGTTGTGGATAGGCATCTTTCTTGATGATTGCATTTAGCATCCGATAGTCAACCAAGAAACGAAACTCTCTGTACATCCAACCAGAGAGGTGTGTCACGACTAAAGAAAAAATGGTTATCATGGAAAATCGATTTTTATATTTATCTCAATCTCATCCTTTACTTGATATTTATCTCAAACATAATTGCATAAATTTATGATTATTGAAACATCAATCGAAGGTCTATATTACCATCACAGGTCTATATATCAACCGAAGGATTATTATCTGATACAAAATGTATATCACAATTAAATCAATTATTATTTTGTGAAGAAACGATGAATTGGATGAAAGTACGATCATTTATTCATCGTTGTTTTCATTCATCTAATGTTCATCAATTAATTCAATTCGAAAAATTATCATTTGCTGTTCAGGATCAATTTTATCAGTTAATAAAAATATAAACCATAAGCTAGTCACAAAATCATTTATAATTCGGTATAATAGCAACAGATTTCCAAATCCATCTTGCAATAATATTTTATCTCTTTAA